TTTTAAAGAGCGTTTACTCATTTTGAACCTTATTGTAAACAATAGCTATCTGAATTGTAATTTTAAGTGTGCGGTAAAACCGCCAGCAAAACTAAAGCCAATAGATTTCTTTACCCATCTACCATGCAAGTACATACACACTTTAAAACACACAAACACACACCTTTGTTTATTCTCATTCTTTCTTGCTTTGTCAATAAATCATTGTTTTGTACTATTTAATAGTAAATTTCAATTATGTAAAAAAATAAATGAATAAAAAAGCGCCATTAATTTCTGCCCCCTCGTGGTAGGTACGCACAATGTGTTCAGCCGTACAGCTGCAGGCGCCACTGATGGGATTTAAAGGAAAAATATTTGTTGACAGCGCTTTACCAAATTTTAAAAAAAAAAATTTAAAAACATTACTTGATGGATCGTTGGTAATATTTCCGGAAGATGACCATGTCACAGTTTATAGCTAAATTGATTCACACCTCCTCCTGAAGTGACTTGCATTGCATTTTGCAATGCATTAAAACATTGTTTTCCAGCCGCACTTCATTCTCCATATGTATAATTTGCCTAAAGTGATGTATACAAACTATATTGTATACTATGACCAGGTCAGCCAGCGCAGTCATCCCTCCATAGTAAAAAAATGTAATGTGTATTTGTAATGTGTATTTATTTAGCGCATTTATTGTGGATGGCCATACACCCAAATCGCTTCACAATCATGAGGGGAGTCTCTTTACACCACCACCAGTGTGCAGCATCCACCTGGATGATGCGACGGCAGCCACATAGTAAAAAAAAGGACATTTTATGTCTGCCGGTTTGTTTACTTGCAGGAGTTCCATTGGCATTTTCCCGCACATTAATTCAGACCAATCGAAAAGCAGTTTAGGAAATATGTTCAATAACATCTGGCCAGTGAGTGATGTGGATTTTGTCACACGACTACTGGTCCGGATCAAAGCAATCAGTGTGGTATGAAAAGGACCCAAAAAGCAATGTATCATCTGTTGCCATTGTTCTGGTCCAAATGCACCGAAGCACAGTTGTAAAAGCACGCTAAATGAAATATATGTACATTTTCACTTAAGACATCTTCTAGTACTAATTATCTCATCCATCTCAAGGATGAAATAACTGGACTATCAGACAATCTATGTACAGCGGCGCGCAGAGACAATACATTTGTGTTTGCTCGCAGTGCGTGGTGCTAATGCCTGTACTTGAGGCTTTAAGATATCAGTGAGTGGCTGTTGATGTCAGAGAATTAGAATTTCAGAGTAGTAATTGGCTCTGTTTCCCCGCTGCTGGCTGCATTCAGCCTGGACCGGAGCCTCTGCCAACGGCTCCATCCCTTTTTGTTTGGCGACACTGTTCATGTCTGCATTTGTCCCTTTTGATAAGGCCTTTCATCCTGTTTGCATTGATTACAGCCTGACGAGTCACCCTGATACACTGTGGGCCATTCAATTCCCTTCACCACACACTGGGCCCATTGTGGGCTTGGAATGCGTGTATGTGTGCGATTGCACTCTCTGTTCTCCTGGCTTTTTAGGTACCAAAGCGCAAGCATGTCAGAGCCTAGGAAACAGCGCTTGGACACAATACTCACTCATCACGGAAATAATGCTGCACCTTGCGATGGAGCATGGCCGAGCATTACTCATTTATGGGCTGAGAGTTTACATTTCACCCTGGCTTTTTATGCGCGTCACATTAATGACCACATACTGAGCAAATCTGCATACGGCACCAATCGGATGGTGATGGATGTCGGTGCGGTTTCAACGATTTATCTGTGCCTCGTTTTCTGCATACAAACATTAATGAGGCCGCAAGATGTATGGCCTCCTTATGAACTGGCATTATACTGTATGTTTAACAACGGCTGAGCTAAAACAAGGAAGAACCATATATAACATCAAAACACTCAAGGCGACCTGAATAACTGGAATCTGTGCACACAAACGCCTGAGTGCGGCCAGTTTGTTTTCAGTCATGTGTTTAGGTTGTGTGTGTGCGTGGACGTGTGGGAACTGGGCAGGTTGAGAGCAGGGCGGGTGATCCTTGTTCTGTGAAGAATTAAAAGCACCTCTGCAAATAGCGGCATGTGTAAATTCTGGGGGTGGGAGTTTCACAGTGGCTGGGGTTTCCGTGTAAATAAACAGTGAGGAGGTCTGCGTGGGTGGAGGGGCCCTGGCCTTCTCCCTGGGGTTAGACCTAGTCTTTTGTTGCTCTAAATCCGAGCACTTTCTATTGAGGAGGATGGGGGGTTGCCTGGGAGAGATTAGTCTGCCAGTTCTGACACCCACACACACACATACACACACACACACACACACTCACACGCATACATTGTGCTTCTTTCTCAACCAAAAGAACAGCCCTGATAAGCACCTCCTGATTTTTTTTTTTTTTATCAAAAGGATGGACGGAATCAAGAGTATCAGTCACAGGCAAACCACAGAACACGACGTGTGTCTCAATGCATGACACCCCCAATTCAAAACCACAGTCCATAAATACTAAAGACTTCACATCACTGAGCTGTAAGTATTCCCAGATCTGGGATAAACATTAAGCAAATTCATGGTGCATAACATTTAATTTTTTTTTCTGAAAATATACAGGACCACCCTGGTGTTTTTATGTTGTAAATGATCCATGTTGCTTTGCATGATATAAAATAGAAAAATTGTAATTTTATAAACTAATAATAATAATAATAATAATAAAATATTACAACCAAAAATATATACATTAGTTTTATGTTAATACAAAATAAACAAATAGCAATACTAGCATACTATATTGAATAATTAATGAAAAAATTAATCACAAAGACAAAATTGCTGCTTGATAAAAATAATAAATAATAATGGTGGTAATAATTATTATTATAACACAATAATATATTAATTAAATTCTAATTATTATTTACAGTTTAAATTGTTTATAACTATTTTTGTTTTTTGTTATTTTAAAATGTATAATAATTAAATGTAGATACACGTGTCATAGCTATTTTTATATCTAAGTTTACGAAAAAAATAGATGACATTACCAGGACTGTATTGTTATATGGGTAACATGCGATTATGAGTGAGGGCTTTTTTTAATGTTATTAAGTGTTTGCATGCTCCTTTGCTCCTTTGTTTTATGTAAGGCTCTCATTACCACGTGGTAGTAACAGATTGTTTGAACTGGAAAGAAAAGCCATTCGAAGCTAATTAAGCAGCCATTCCAGGCACTATTCACGGGCAGAAGAGCGAGAAGCACAGGCATTTGTCAGCGCTTGACCCCGCGTGGTATTGATTGACAACAAACCTTCTTGAATGACAGCCTTAACCTTTCCCGTCCAATTGCAGTCGAGAGAATATAGATGCTGCTCTGCGATTGGCTGAGAAGCTGTAAAGCCGCAAAGGGATCCCACGTGGGTGCAGCAGAAGAAACGGCACAGGATTGGCCGCTTCTTCTGGGTTCAGACATGGCCGTTGTTCACGGAGATCAAACCTGAACAATCATCGTATTCCCAGCGCTAGCTATCTGTCCATCTTGATGATAGCTCATATTCGTGTAGATGTGCAAAATTATGTTATGAACGGGCACTAGCTTGAGAAATCTGAAAAATAATGTTTTTGTGAACACCGATTGAACCAGTGTTATCTAAATAGATTTGCGACTGACGAGGGGAAATGATGACTTCCTATTTATGCTAACTTTATTTTTAAAGGGCGGCAGATGTACACAAAACAATATAAATAACACGAAAAACGTTCAACTTTAATTTGATATATAATAACTCGGGACATTGTTGTCCTCCTTAAAGCATAAAGCTATAATGCTAACCTACTTTATGTAAACATTTAACATAACCGACTTAAATAACACACAATCGTGATTCCAATAAACAGTACATTGTTTTTCTTCCCAGAACGACGTCCGTGTCTACACTGAGACTGCATCAGATCTCTAAACAAAGGCATTCACTGTGACATCGGTCCACTTTGCTCAAAAATACCTAGAAATGTTCAACGGCAGCATTACGAGCTACCTGTTCTGATCTAAAATGGCGAGTATGATGTCATGCATCAGGATGCAGTCCCCACGTGGGGACAAGGCTCCACTATTGGTCCGTAGAGCAAAACTCTCCGTTTTCTCATGTGATTGGCTAGCGGGAGGTGCTCTCGCAGTGGCTCAGCCCTCGTGTCAGTAGACTGTCTGTGTGTGGCACAGGGTTGCATTGCTGGACGAAGGGGAAATGCGCGAGCGGCGAAGAAGTAAAACATTTCACTTTTAAACGTCCCAAACCGCTCCAAAATCGGAAGTACATTTTTTTGCCTGAGTTTTTTGAGGATTACACGAACATTTTTTCGAAGCGTGGAGTTTGGCGTTTCTTTATTCCTTTGCCTCGGAGAAGCTGAGTCTCACCGAGTCGCTTCGCGTGATAGAGAGCGAGCGCACCAGAGATGTTCGCCACCGTTCGCGTCCGCCAGGAACCGTATTTTACTCTGAGATATTGAAGCGGAGATTGACATTTCTGAAGTTACGGGAACAGTGGAAGTGACTCGGACGCACAAAGACAGGTACGGAGGACTAGCAGGTTAGCTAACGACAATAGCTCGTTATCCAACCAAGCGAGACTTGAAACGCTTCTCACACTCAAACAGTGACTGAGCTCATCACTTATCACTTTGGCGACTCATTTACGAGCTTCTTATTTGGTTCATTCAAGTAAGGTGAAGTGCTAAAAGACAGTTGCCAAACAAAGAAAAACGCCTGATTTCCGCTTAATTTCCTTGTGTATTAGTAACAAATGTTTGGCTTCGAGTTGTTTTCTCCCCTCACACAGTCAATTGTTTTGAAAGTGCAGGTGAAAGTGCGTTATTAACGCTCCTTTCAACGCAAAGTTAACATTTCCAAGCGTCTTTTTAACCTCTGTTTGATTGTAACGGTCTCCCCTTCGTCTGTTTGTTTATTTTTCATTGTTTGGGTTCCAGCAGCAGAGATCAGAGAGGATTTTTGCCCCCAGCGTCCAGTGGGCTTCGTGTCCGGCTGATTTTTTACAGTACAGTGGCTTGCCGGTGGACACCCCCTACCAAATAGAGCTCCAATAAATAAAGGATACATTTCAAGATGTATCCACAGGGCCGGCATCCGGTAAGTGCATCTTGAACTGATATGGAACATAATTGCTACATCTGCATCAGTTTAGCTAGAGAGCAGGGGCAGAGCCGCCCGTCCATGACGAACGACATCCTGATGTGCACCTTCATTTGATTTGCTAAGCCCTGGTGCCTGTGATATTGCTTTGAAGTGAAAGAGCTGGAGGTTCCAGGCACAATCAGATGGGGTAAAAACCCCTGACGGTTACTTGTCAATAAAGTAGTTGACGTTGAAATTGTCTTTTGTTCGATAGTCTGTGTTTTCATGTCTTTCCATGAGCACCTGGTTTAGAGAGACTGAAAACAACAGCATTTTTACAGTTGCAGTTTGGCACGCTCAGACCCATCCAAGCGAGGCGACCCCATTTCTCCCGCCGGTGTTTATGTGAGGCACTAAAACGGCGGACCCAGAACTGTAAAGATCCTCTCCCCCCCCGCCTCTTTTGTCAGGACGCTACTGGTGCTCCAGCTATCTCCCAGATGTCACTGTAGCGTGGATGTCACCCCAGCCCTCATTCAGGCTGAAATATTAGAGCTGCTCTCCCAGGGCCCAGAATGCATTAGAGCCTCGCTCTGCAGTCGGTGGAAAACAAATTTGGTTCTCTGAGGATGTAATTGAGTTTGATTGATGTGATGGCTGTCTTTCAGGCGCCCCACCAGCCTGGTCAGCCAGGCTTCAAATTCACAGTGGCGGAGTCCTGTGACAGGATCAAAGACGAATTTCAGTTCCTGCAAGCCCAATATCACAGGTAATAATTTAGAGTTATGTGGCCGTAAAGTAGCTTGTACAATTACTGCTTACCCTAATTGTGTTTCACAAGCAAAAGGGAGGAACAATCTATTTGATTCACACAAAATGTTTTCTGTAAGTAAAAAAATATATATATGGTAAAGCTGCAACATCATACAGCGTATCGGCACCTTATTGGTGCAAAGCTAATGTTGTAAACACAATTTTAGGCATAATTAGAGTTTATTTGTCTGTTTTCAAATGTATAAACAGTGTTTTCTTAGATAAAGATCTTATTCTTTTCATCTAGCAATGTTTTTTCTATAGTATATTTCAGAGGACATCATGTCTGAATTCACTTTAATATTTTTAAATATCACAGAACATTTGGTGATTTGAAATTGACATATCTTTTCATTTATTGTTTGTTCTCATTAAGATTTTGTGAAAATGTAATTATTTCATGTAAAAAAAAGTGCTTTATTGATGTAGTGTTGAATAAATGAGGTAGGGGTGTGTGATGTATATTGGTACCATATTAGTCCATAATGTGAATTTTTATAGATTTAATAGTTTTCAGACATTACTTTAGCTAAAGGTATAGTTCTTGATTACAATAAATAAGAAGGTTTTATTTAATTTAAGAAGGCATTTGGTATATTGATTATTATCATGTACACATTTGCTTCAACATATACAAGCAAATATTTTGTGCCAATAATTATAATTGATATTATTATTATTTTTAGCTTTGCAAAAATGTTATTTTTGGTCAAATTAACTACAAGAAATAGGTCTTCTAAGCAATTATTAACCTCAATTAATATAATTTTTAACATTTATTACATTATTACAGTCCAAAATTGTACTTGTTAATGTCATGTAATAGACTTGAGCTGCATTTAAATAGTTTGAGCTACAATAATTTATTTCATGATATGAAAATAATCCTTACACATGGCCGCAAATTTTAATATTACAACCTAAATTGAATGTGTTAAAATTGATTTGACTTCATTGCTAACCCTGTAAAATGTGACTGTTTGTTTAGCTTCATGTTTGCATTGTGGATTAGTTTTGTGGGTGGAAGCAGTGAAAACGTATATTTGCTGAGTAACTAATGTGTTTTGTTTTCATCGCAGTCTCAAAGTGGAGTATGACAAACTGGCCAATGAGAAGACCGAGATGCAGCGCCATTATGTCATGGTAAGATTAGCCAATATGTAAGCTGCCATTAGCCAGTAGCTGGGGTGAAGGTAGATTGTTTCGTGTTTCTCTCTGTATGTGTGTGTTTTAGAATGTGTTTGTGAAACCCCCTCTGGTGCTTTTAGTTCAGCCTCCTGCTTTATTAAAGGGCCCTGACTGACTGCTCTTAGCCTCGGGCCCTTTCATACTGCAACCCTTAGCCGTAGGGGTCAATGACCACTGCATTGTCCCCTCTTCTCTCTCCCCCCTCCTGTTCCCCCCCTTCCCTCTACCTCCCTCTGTGTGCGGATCTGATTATTCTCCAAGGAGACGCTGCTCTCAGACAAATGCACGGCCGTAAATTGGGTGAGGGGTGATGGAGGAGTGCCAGAGGCGTCTGTGGGAAAATACTCAATCGCAGCAGAAATCCAAAGACTCTGCAGCGTTCTGTCTTTGATAACCAGATTTTACGCACAAACAAACGGCTACATAAATTCAGTGTTAATCTTAATCACAGGCTTAATCATTTACACAACACCAAAGCCCTAAATTCAATCGTAGACGTTCAGGAGATCAAAACAGCCTCATGTTAGGATTTATGATAGGGAGAGGAAAAACAAAGCTTTTCGCGGTGTAACTAAACAAGGTTAAACTGTGGAAGTGTATTCTCTTATCTTGTGTAAACACGCGAGCGATGACTTTAACCAATACCCAGGGACGCTAGTTAAACATTCCATTCACAGGAAAAAGCATGTCAGTCAGAAAGGAGGAGGAGAGGTTAGGTAAACACCATGTCGAATCCCCACGCTGACTGTTTGCAGTTGATAGTGTCAGAATCTAGACTTGGAGAGGACTGCACTGAAATCACTCTTTTCATTTTAATCTTCTTTTTATCATTGTTGTTATAATTGATTAGGTGTTTCTGTAGCAAGGTGTCATAATTGGGCAAAAGTTCTGCATGATAAAGTTTACCTTAATTATACTATCAGGATTCTCACATTCTCGCACATTCTAAAAAAATGATGATAAATGTAAATACGCTGTCAAAAAAGATTAGATTGTGTCCTGTTTTTATATTTTTAAGGTTGTTTTACAGCAGTTGACTCTCACTAGTTTGTTTATATACAAATATTTCATATTTAGAACAAGTCATTTGGTGACAAAAAAAATGAAGGATCACTGTGCAGCCTCTGAATCAATAGTCATTTTAAATGTTCTGCTTTGGCACTATTATTGCTACTTGAACCATTTGTCAGCAAAACTTTTTTAAAAGTGCTCAGCATAGATGAGTACACCCTATTTTGAAAATGAATATTTTGATCCATTTCTCAGTGAATATAGGCAATGTATTTTAGTGCGTTTAAACAAAACAGATTTATTAAACAGATATATTAAATAAAATTATATTTTAGTCACTAAACGCGTTTAGAAATTGAACGATAATTAATAATATTAATTAATTAAATTAAAGCAAAATGTTGCAAAAAAACTAAATTTTTCCTTTCCTTTTTTTTTTTTGTTTGCTTCTCTTGGTTTTTCGTCGTTGAAATTTGTATTTAAAACTTTTTATATCCCAAATTTGGCTGTACTATTTTTTAGACCGTTATCTTAAGTTATTTTGTTAGATAAGCTGCAGTTTTGGCTTCTGTACTGACTAATCTAATGTTTATGCACAAATATAATATTGTATAGCTTCCTATTCATTCATTTTCTTTTCGGCTTAATCCCTTTATTAATCTGAGGTCGCCACAGCGGAATGAACCGCCAACATATCTAGCATATGTTTTTACACAGCGGATGCCCTTCCAGCTGCAACCTTTCACTGGGAAACATTCATACACACTCATTCACACACATACACTACGGACAATTTAGCTTTACCAATTCACCTATACCGCATGTCTTTAGACTGTGGGGGAAACCAGAGCACCCGGAGGAAACCCACGCAAACACAGGGAGAACATGCAAACTCCCCACAGAAACGCCAACTGACCTAGCCGAGGCTCGAACCATCAACCTTATTGCTGTGAGATGACAGCACTACAAACTGCGCCACTGCATCGTCTAGCTTTCTATTAAACATATGAATTTAAAATTATTATAGAACGCTGAGAACTGTATAATATCTGAATAAAAATAGAGCACTATTTGACCCAAGTTATATAAAACATTAAGTTATGCTAGGGCTGCACTATACTGAAAAAAACTTTTCACTTTCTGCAATTTATATTGTGATTTCACATGATAAATTAATACTTTTCGATTGATTTTGGTGGGGAGTGCATTTGCCAATCTACAAGCAGAGATAAAGTAGAGCAAATATACAAATGAAGAGGGTAGTATAACACTATACAGGTACAGCAATAAAATAATCAAATGTACACTAAAGCTGTATATTCTTCAGTGTGTAAATAATTAAGTACAATAATTCTTTGTTAAAGCTACAAAAATAATAGTTCAGTTGTTTTAAAAATGCTTTAAGCTAGCTTGAAATGTTTACAGAGGTCTTGAAATCTCAATTGAAAAACTTTAACTTTTTACTTTATTAAACTGAAATGAAAATTATCATGTGTTCTAAATGATTGTACCTGGTCTTCTACAATCCTGATTCCACATTGCATGTCTTGTGATGTGACTATTTCCATATTGATTCTAAAACTATATATTGTGCAGCCCTAAGTTAGACACTAGCGTTCAAGATTCTTTCTATGAGATTAACCTTTGTTAATTGAATGTGATGCAGACATCAAAATAAGACATCTCGACTTTGACCCATAAATGTTGTTATTTCCCATTTCTGCTTGGGTGTAGTTTTTTTTTTTTTTTTTGGTCCATAGTATGGGAACTCTGACCTAAAACCAAGTGGGATTTCCATTGTATACTTTCATCAGTATCACACAGAAGCTGTGCAGATGTGAGGCGCTGTTATGGGACATGATTTTGAAGTGTGCATCAAAAGCCTGTTCTCCTCTTTTACCCTCATGTTTCACTAGAATCTGACTTTCTTTTCCCTACTCTCTGATGTGAGGTGAAAATGTTTGATGTGGCTTGGATTGAATAAAAAAAACTGAGTATTTTTCATTTCTCTTTCTTTCAGTACTATGAGATGTCCTATGGGCTGAACATTGAAATGCACAAACAGGTATGTAGCCCTTTGATCCCTATTCACACAATCTCTGAGTCACAGAGGAACAGTGCGCTGTGTGTGTAGACGTCAGTCAATGCAGTCACGCTGGTGTGTTAGGAGACAAGTGAAGTGCACTCCGTATAGATGATGAGACTGTGGACTGTGTTCTTTTGAGCAGCAGTTAGAATCAGGCTAGAAGTCAGGACATTACAAGCACACACACACACACACACACACACACACACAGTCAAGTCTCTTTTCCTGCTTGTGCTGAGTAGAGTGTGGTCAGACAGCTTTGATAAGATTAAAGTCAGGACTTTGGCAGGAGGGGCCGTGTGATTTAATGACTAAAGGGAGCATAGTCTGTGGAGTCCCTATTATGTCAGCACATTTAAGACACCCTTTATAAATTAACGCTAAGGGAAAACCCGTAAATTCATTTCCTCCAATCAATTTTTACCCTGCAATTTCTCTAAGGCTGCAACTAACGTTTATTTTTTTTACATTTGATTATTTGTTATAGTAATATCCAGTTAAATTAAAGGAATTTCATTTCTTTTCCAGTAATCGCCTGAAGCTAACAGCATGGCCACATGAAACTGTTTAACCTATTAGGAGCTTCTTTGAAGCGATGGGCAGATTGTGATCTTTTTCTCTGCCTGTTTTTTTTTTTCTTTAAAAGAAAGTTGCTGTTGTTTGCCAATGCAATATTGCATCACTTACAAACATTATTTGTGCAATGCACATTTATTTTTTCATCTTACATTGATTTAATTATCTGTCCTAATTTTGTCCACCTGACTACTTTAAAATAGCTTTCAGGCACGTAGCCGAGGGGAGTGTTGTTTGGGTGATTCGGAAGACCCACCCTCACTGACAAAGGTCCAAAATCTTTTCTATACATACTCATTTGTTTTATTTTAACTGTTATGCCATCATAAACAGTTGAAATAACCCATAGAAAAAGTCTTTAAGACCAAACGGAATCATCTGTTGGCTGTCGCTTCGCTGTGTAATCTGTTTTGGCCATTGCAAACAAATACCTTTCATGGGTCCAACAACCAGCTGCAAGAAAACATACAATCTGCCATAAGTGAAGTCATCTTTATCTACTGTATTGTTTTTAAACGGAGGAAAGATCTTACAAGTAACTTTTATTTAAATCTTAGACCTTATACTTGCAACAAATGACCAATAAAATGGTGTGAAGCACCATATTACAATGAATTTGCATACTAATTTGGCTATTATATTGTAAGTTTTTAGGAGATATCATTGATACATTAAAATTTGTGGTTTTGATGGTCATTCCACATGCTAATCCAGCTAAAAATAGTGCTTAAAATGTCACTAAAATGCAGTATTTTACAATTAAATAAAAAATAAGGTGAATTACTGCAAAAAGGTCCACTTTTTGAGAAAAAAAAGAACCACTCCTTTCACCAGACTGGCAATGGGCCTGGCTTTTCAACTGTGAGATTCTAGAGGCCACAGTATACTTTGTTTTAATGCATTTGCAACGTATAGTGGGTGTGACACAAGTTTCATCAATAGATCTTTTGCAAATGCATGCACCACCCAACCTGTCACCATTGCTTTGATTTGTTTTCACATATCTTTGTTTGTGAGGCATTAACACCAGCATTTTTTCAGTTAGAATAGGAACTGAGCAGACAGAAACTAAACAACAACAAACTTCTGAAAACTACCAGTATTAATGAGTGCCCAAAGTCGTGTGCAAGTTTATTTTAAAGGAATATAAATACATTCTTGAGCAGACGCTAGACAATTCTTTCTAGTACACTTGTCAAGCAACTGTGTGTGAACACCACCAAATGGAGGACACTTTGAAAGGCCGTGCGCTCAACTGTGCAAAAACAAAGTATATTTTAGGCTTTATCCACCATATTTACAAAAACTAATCTGATATGTCTTGACATTATTGTGATACATCGCACATTTCCTGTCCTCTAGATAATAATGAGATTGTGCTGTGCACCAGATGTAGTTAGGGCACCTAAGAGACAACCCAGCTCCCTCAGCCGCTCCCCTTCTCCACCTCATGAAGGTTAATGGCATCAGGGAGGAGCTGGTGGTTGGCGATCCATCAGTGTCCACAGTGTAAGTCTCTGCGCTCCTCTCTCTGTCAGGCCCCTTGCCCCTGCGATGCCTCCTGTTAACCACTTATCTCCCAACCGTCAGCTGAGGGACAGAGGAGTGAGAGAAAAGGATAGAAGGTGGGAGGGCTGGCCTTGTGTAAACAGGTTAATCGACTGATCCATTTTAGCGCCTTGACTTTTATCAGGAACCGCCACAGAGCCCATGGATGCACTATTGAATAATTCATCCAACGCTGGCTTTAACTTGCTAAGGAGGAGGGAGGTAACTGTGTTCATATGAGCAGACACACAGGTCCAACCCTTTGATCCAGATCTTTTGATCCTGGTTAAACTGAACCCAGAAGCAGATGCCAAGTGGGGAGTGGTTAACCAACCGAGTTAGCGTAGATTTCCGAATCTGCACCGGATTCTTGTCTGCACTGTGGATTTAATTCCAGCTGCCAGGCAAACCATTCCCTTCTCCATTCAGTCGTCTCTAGGCACTTTGTATTTTAAACAGTTGTGGCGTAATGCGGATTTCAGGATTCACGCTAGCATCTGATACCTGCAGACTGCCATAGCAAGGGGGGAAATGCAGATGTAATGGCAGCTGCTCCATGTCAGTGAGCCGCTGTGATGACTGAGGTGCACTCACAGCGTGGCTTGTTTTGTGAGTTTTTCCTCACCTATTGTGAGACTCTGAGGGAATCTCCTCCCCTCTCCTCGCTGTCAGACCCAGATTGAGCCAGTCAGGCCCAGCGTGACACAGGGACGCTGATAAATGATTTATAAGGGGTGCCCTAGGAAGTGTTTGCTAACTGTTGGATTGTCCTTCTCTATGTGAGCCAAAGCAAACTGACTGGCTCAGCACGGTGAGTATACAAAGCCTCTGTTTAAGAGGAAGCAGGGTTGGGAAACACAGGCCCGCTCCATCACGCTGTTTATGGTGTTTGGGTCATGAATCCAGGTGAACCTGTACAATGACACTCCAAACACATGCATAATAGAGCAGGGCGTAGTGTGCGAGACGACCAAAAACAGCAACAGAAAACACAAGCTTGCCACCCGTGCAGACCTACAGTCCAGCTTCACTAACGCCGATCAATGCAGGTAAATTTTAATGCCAGTTTTAACAGCACTGCAAGTTAACAACCCTGTTAAGCTTGTGCGCTCACCTCTGGCACGCACATATATAGACCTTGTTATACCTTTACTACTGAGCATGAGGCTGTCAGAGAGCATTACCACCCTCTCACCCCAGCAGAATACAGGGGCCCATCAACGCGGCTAGGTCAAGTATTGTTTGTGATGGAGACACATGCCTGGAAGGGCCAGTTGTTTTCCTCTATATTCAATGCTCATCAGCATCTCACTCCATTCTGCTGGCGCTGATGGCAACAGACAAATAGCTTTCAGCATGCCATTGACAGCCTGGCCCTGGAGTGCTCTTGAAATGGTGCTAGACAGGTCCGAGTACCTGTAATTGTGTACCAGAGCGTGAAGCTTGCCACTTAAGAGGCAGGCTTTCATCTGCTTAAAGTGACATCCTATTTTTATCCGCAGTTGTAGCTAAAAGCTCTGCTTGTCCAGCTCAATGCACAGCACGGCTTTCATCATAGATTCATACATTACGGGTGGCGTATGTCTGCTTTTTAGGTACGTCACCGCCATCGGACATGTTTTCCCCCGACACAAGGATTGTTTTTGCAAGATAAAGCATGAAGCTTTAGAGTGAGCGTCAGATAAGGCAACCCTTGACCTCACTCGGCCAGCTGTCAACGTCGCGTTAAGCCCTTAAGGAATGTGTTCGATGCTCTCCAGGCCTCTCAGCAAATCCTGTCAAATGTTAGGCTGCTATTGACGCGGTTTATCTCGGCAAATAAGGATTATACACTGAGCTGGCTTTTCAACCAGCATTTTTGTTGATGCATTCTTCTAGTAGTGTAGTTGAGTGTCTGAAAGCTAAACTTGTACACTGCTTCGATCCTGTTGCTTAGAAATGCTATCACCCGGCCTCGTCACACCAAGTTTAATATAGCTTTCGAGAATGCGTAAAGCTGACACTTTATGGACTCTGCGCTGTATCGATTCTTTTTTTTTAAAGATTGTAAACATTTCTTTATTTAATGTAGTTTTTATTTTAGATTTTCACTTATAACTGTGGCCATCTGGTTAGGCATTTCTTTTTATTGAGAAATTAATTCTTGTATATACTGCCATCAGACACTTTTAAAAGCACTTAAATGACTAACAGCAATATGGTCAAACATATATTGCGCAATCTCAGATCACATGGAATGGTATGGACTAATATGTATAATCTCAGATTATGGTCGTTTTATGGAATGTGTTTTATTTTATGGTCTGCTGTGGTATTTATTTAATGCTTCGCAAGGCTTTACTCAGTCACATTTCGCCTATGGCTTGACCTGCCACATGTCTGTATCCCTTTGATGGGAGGGAGCGAAACTTTCTCGGTGTTACAGAGTATGTTGTAAAAAAATATTGTGTCTGACTCCTTCAACTGCTTGGCATTTTCGGCAATATGTTATAAATAATTTCCTGGTCGGCGCAGCGCTGCGTGTTTGCCATTGAAATGAAAAATAGAGCCAAAATCCCTGTGATGTGTTTGTGCTCCGTTCTGGCCCTGGGTTGAACTGAGCCTCATAAATTCTATAGATGATGTATCTGTAGCCGAGTTATTTTTCAGAGGCTTTCCTCCCCCTCTCCTTTGGTCTCAGTCAAAGCCAGTGCCAGACCTGTGATGTGAGCTCCTTTCATCACTGGAAGAGGCTGTGATGTCGGCCGTGCTGTGTTCCTGCTGGCGTCTGATGATGGAAAGGAAGAGGGATGGAGTACATCCTACTGTAGCTGCGTGTTGCCTTTGGGTGGGGAGGCCTGGCTTTTGCCCCCCAACATCCCTGCCCTCACACCTCCTTTTACTGTCATGTGTTCTCACAGCGACCCCACATCATCCTCTGCTATCGCTCGCCTTTTTATCCACCATTCGTGTGCGGTACTCGTCCGATCGACAAGCTGAAAATTCAATTTAATGACCTGCCTGTGTGCACGTAATATGATTTTACAGGCTGTTACGGTCAAGCTGAGGTACCATTTGCATAATGATCGTCGCGCGATAGGAGATGGGGCCTGCTCGGCTACTGTTGCCATGGCGACGGTCAGGCGGGTGGAGAGAGAATGAAGGTCGGGTCCCTGCGGTGGGCTGGATGAAGGGGTACTTGGGGGTGGGTTGCTGAGAAAATGAAAAAGGTGGGGTCTGGGGAAGGCAAATAGGCATTGGCCTGACAGGACTGGATGCAGTCCACCTTTGTTCATTGGTTAGCGGGGATACGTTATTGCGAACATTGTATTGTCATCTGTGACCATACAGATGTGGGATACATTATTATTATTATTTGTGGCTTGTTTTTCTTTGAATGAATATGCTATTATTAAATAGGTTGTTTTTATCATGTGGTTCTGGTGGTGCGTGAAATTCAGATGGAGGGCAGGAAGTAAAAAACTGAATGGAGACATATGGAAAGTCCTTATTTTTGCATATTTCATAGGAGATATAAATAGAAAATAAGCACATATGTTGGACATGATCGGCCCTATAATGAAGAAGACAGAGTTTTCTACTACACTAAAATATATTTGCCTGTCATCAAGGCAGTAGATACTGTATAAGCTACATTACATGACAAATAATATAGTAAATACTATAGTGTTTGAAAGCTTATACTATAGAAAATTAGTTGAATTAAACTGTCGTAGTAATTATATTGTTTCTGTGGTACAACACAACTGTAGTAAGAAACAAATTATTCAGGCTTTAGTTTTCCTTGTGATAGATATTAGATCTAATAATATAATTATATTGAGTTTGCACTAATGCTACAGTATTTACCACAGTTTATCAGTTTAATTTACTACAGTATTCTCTAGCATTCATAAACAGAGCTGTACACATACACTTTACTATCTGGTTCAAAAACGTGTATTATAAATTACTATTACGTTTTTTCCTCATGCGGATATCTTCCTGACATCACGAAATAACAGATGAAGGCATACAAAAGGGTGGACGTATAGTCTACATTATTATCTATTTATTTTTGTAAGGTGGAATTAACTTAATGATCTTACCATCAACAAACATTCACCTCTGCTGCGCATATAGACGTTAACGATACAGTTGTTTTATTCTGTCGAAACTCCAGTAAAGACATGGATTATTGCAAAAAAATATGGAGATTGTATTGAAGCGATTACATGGCAGGGTACATTAATTACATGTGTGTTGGTGTTTGTATCTGACTTGTATAACACATTAACATATTTATACACAAAGTTAGGCCTGTATGTAATCTTTATTGGTGCCTTCAAAAAAAGTTTGTACACATGGATGTATTCAATACATGTTTATTACATGCTGATTTTCTTCTGTTTTTCAGCCAGTTTCTCGAAATTTCCCCGCTTTGTGAGCAAAAACTTTTGGAAGTCTATAAAAGCTGTTCGGCATTTCTCATTTTGGCTGATTTAAACAATTATAAAGAACATAAAACAGAAACATTTTGATGTTCTGATAGCGATTGTCATGTAGAAGAACCACTTCCTGTACTCCATCTGATTTTTGCACGTCATCATTGACGTTATGTGAAAACAGCCTATATAACAATCAACAAAAAGGCTATAAATCTGCTACTTAGACCATGTGTGTACAACTTTTAGATGCTTTAAATTCATAAATTTAGAATTTATCAGACTCCTTTATTGTGGTCAGCCCTCAAGTCGTGCTTCCAACATGTCCTTGGGGACTGTCTACATTATTTAACATCTGCTAAACAACAGGAGTTGGCAGTCGTTTTGTTGTGGAGACATATAAAAATGAAACCACTTCTGCGGGCTTTTCTTTTTTTAGTGGAATTACATAATCTGAGGTGATAATGGTGGAGGTGTAAATGTGAAGTTGCGACCGCTAAAGAAAGTCTCGCATGCTAGTAGACTGTACCTGCAGGGTGACGGCAGCTGAAGTGCTGGGCTACTCTTAACACAGCTCCAGCGTATCTGGCTTGTTCTTCGTGTGGTTTGGAGTATACACTCATCGCAGCTGTGCTCTCTCTCTCTCTCTCCCCTGGGCTCTCATAATGTTTTAAATATTTCACATGTCAATATCACGCAGTTTGGAGTGTGCAGAGTCAAGCGGTTCTGATTGCTGTGGTAATTGGCTTAATCGTTGGGAAACGCTAAAAAGGCTTAGTGGTGCTCTTTAACAGAAGTAAATTAACCCTTTTTTTAACTTTTCCCTCTTCCTTTTCCTTTTCCAGACCGAGATTGCCAAAAGGCTCAATGCGATTCTAGCCCAGATTATGCCTTTTCTGTCACAAGAGGTGAGCTTTATTTACATTTTAAAGCTTTATTTTGTTCTGAATTGTAATGTCTTATTATTTAAGAACTTTTCAGATTTTTATATTTGATTGGACTGTTTATTGTATTTAACCTGTTGTTTTTCTCCTGTTTCAGCACCAACAGCAAGTAGCACAAGCTGTTGAGCGTGCAAAACAAGTGACAATGACCGAACTGAATGCTATCATCGGGGTACGTGGACTTCCCAATCTGCCTCTCACCGTGTGTATACCTCTTTAATTACTTTATTTCACTTTAAGAATAAAGGTAAACCTGCACGGATGTAGAACCAAAGTAACCATAATAACAGAGTTAAAGATTCATTTTGAAATCAGTGAATTTCTTTTAATTAAGTGCAGGTTTGCCTCTAAAATGAATGCTTTTTGTGACGTTTTAATGTGCATGCTTGCTGTGTGCTGATTGAAATATATTTGTGAATTGAGTGAGTGTATGTATTTCACTAGTCTTTCTAGGTTTGCTAGATTAGTGACTGACATTGCGTTATCTATAGACTTTCCTACATATACCAAATGCAATCTATATTAGAAACTGGTTTAAAAACAGTGAGAAAACCAAGTGATGTGTAATGATTGTTTATGGCACAATAATGAGGTGTCACATGTTTTCCATTGCTTTCATTTACCTCTTGACCCCCAGCGGAGTTATTGTTTATCGAATGTACAGCTGGACTGTTGACCAAGCTTTATTTAGTCCCTTCTATATGTGGTGCGAGTGTCCCCAGAGTCTGCATCTAGAAGCTGTTCAGAGCTTTCTTTAGAGGATGGATACCTTTAATTAGATCAGGTTTTACAGGGGAGGCTCATTCCTCTCTGCTGACCTGGATTGCATTGGGAATTAACAACAAATAGGATTTTGCACACATCCCTGAGCTACTACAGCCATTGCTTTCTTAGAAACGCCCACATCTGCCTTCTAACAATCACTTATCGACCAGGGGCAAGTGACCTGGATCTTTATCATTATGTAGGGAAAAACAAATCTGACCCCTGTGCATCCAGAAGTAAGGCTAGCTCTGATTACATATGTTGACCCTGCTTTGATTCCTCTTCAGCCCTACAGCTGAACAATCTGATAATGGTGAGGTGAAGGTTTGAGGGTAGCTTTGTGTTGTCTGATATCGGAATTCAATTAGATCCCTGAGCATTGACACTTACTCCGAGATGATTCCTGAAATCTGAACAGGCCAGTGATGTGGTAGCTTTTAAATGCAATCTTATCTTTAGGAATGATCACTTTCTTTCATTACAGCAGACCTACTTTAATGACTCCTATTATTTTAGAGCCTTTAAGAAGTAGGACATGTATAGCTTGTCTGAGAGATTTCTTTCTTTCTCTGAGTAGTATTTGTAATTCACACAGTAGACAATGTGTGTGTGTGCACGTTCACGCAGGTGCCAGAGTCCTCATAAATAGTATAAGGCAGAGGTGAGATGTGAGCTACACACACACATACTCGCTCAGAGCAGAAACCAGCATCTCTTATTGATGAACCTCAGGGCCGGTAATAGGATGCATCTAGGGCAGCGGCTTTTTTTTCTGCTGTGCTATGACTTTGATCAGAGGTCTTAAGATGGCCTTCTCTAGCAGCTCAGCACTTTGGCCCTAACCGTGTGTGTGTGTGTGTGTGTGTGTGTGTGTGTGTGTGTGTGTGTGTGTGTGTGTGTGTGTGTGTGTGTGTGTGTGTGTGTGTGTGTGTGTGCGTGTGCGTGTGCGTGTGCGTGTGTGTGCGTGAGCTAGCCCTGTTTATTTTTGAAAAGAAAAAGCCTTTCTATCCCCCTTTTATTTTTTCCTCAGTTCTTTCTCCCCATGCTGAACTTCCTCACTGTTTTGTTTGGATTGGTCTGAATATCAGGAGTTTATGGCCTGTGGTTGGCTTTGGAGCTCATAGTGGTTGGGCTCGGCAATGTATTAAATTTTCATGATTTGATGGGTGTATAAAACCTAAGCATCTTAGTTTAATGGTGATTTTTATTGTGCAGGCCCTTATGATGTCTGTGATGTGGAAAACGCTGACAGAGTGGCTGAATCAAGTGATTTAAAAATGGAATTCTGAACCAATCATTTGGTTACACTTGGCAAAATTGTGGCAAAATAAAGGACTACTGCTACTGTTCTTCTCAAAGTTGTAGCAATAATAATAATAATAATAATTAATAAAAGGATTTCAACATTTTCTATGGAATAAAAAATGTTTTATATTTTAATATTAACAGGATTAAAGTAATTGGTAAAAAATAATTTCATAAACTTCTAAAAATGTAATTGTTGTCACAAATCTCACACATTGTCACAAAGTTATAGAATTACATAAATGTAATTGTTAAATATGTTGAATACGCTCCATGGTTTTTGTTGTTTCAGAAATTCCAAAAAAAATTTAAATCAAAACCTTATTTACAGTGCCCTACATCACATTTATACCATATTTCAATGCTTCCCACACATACACTTAACATCGGCGATAACCCGATGTTAAGAAATATTTTACTAGATATATTTCAAGAAACTTCTATACAGCTTAAAGTGACATTTAAAGGCCCAACCAGGTTGATTTGGTTAACTAGGCAGGTTAGGGTAATTAGGCAAGTCATTGTATATTGATGGTTTGTTTTTAGACAATCAAATATATAGCTTAAAGGGACTAATAATTTTGTCCTTAAAATTGGTTTTAAAAAATTAAAAACTGCTTTTATTCTAGCCAAAATAAATCAAAAAAAGACTTTCTCCGGAAGAAAAAATATTATCAGACATACTGTATAAAATTCCCTTGCTCTGTTAATAATCATTTGGGAAATATTAAGAAAAGAACAAAAATTTAAAGTGGGCGAATAATTCTGACTTCAAATGTAATTAATTCTTTGATCTAAAGGATTCAGATAAAATTTCTATGTACTCTGAGAGGAGGAAATTATGTCTAAACTGGCTGCAAAATGTTTGTACATGGTTTATGTTTGTAGGCCTTATTTAAATAACCGGAACTTTTTATTCTTGTAATTCTTATACTTTTTAGAGATTTTTATTCCATAGGTGCTTTTATTCTTTGTCATTTATTTCTCATTTGCTGTATATATTTTTTTTATTTGATGTTGATATTTGCTTCGGCAATACTGTATAAAATGTTTACCTGTCAGTGGGTGCACATGGCTCCTGAATAGAGGATTTGTTTTTTTGTTTCAACAGTCTTTAAAAAAAATTCTACCCATTGAAAAGGAACTGTTTATAATAATAAATATAAATATTGTTAAAAATCACTTTTTTTGCGTGTAGTTAACAATGTGCAGTGGTTAAAAGTTGTGTTTCAATCCAGGTACACCAGCAAGTATATTTCAAGCCTGTGGGAAGCACTGCATTTAGTCCAATGGTAAAAATATCAAGATATAATTGTTTGACCTTTTACCTAGTCCTGTAAGTGGGCAGCCTTTTTGACTGCCAGTCATTTGCTGTGAGTGTATAGGTAGATCTGTATTAAGCCTGGCCCCCCCTGTTGTGCTGTGAGGCCAATTAAGTGTGTTTGTGGCCAAGAGGGCGAATCATGGGGCTTTTTGTTTTTCGAATTCCCCCCCAGGCATGCATGTTGCATGGTTACATCACTCTCAAGATGGGGTTGTTTAACATACACACCTGAGAATAGAAGCAGGCATTTGTCTGATTTAGCCACTTATCTTTTTTATATGTCTATTGTTAATTGTTCGCACTGGGCCTAGATTCATTGTTTTGCTGTAAGAGGGAGAGATTAGCACCAGTTGAGCCGGTCTTTATGCAGGAATATTAAATTACTGGAGACATTTTATTTCTTTATTTTCTTGTCTTCATGGCCGGGTCTCTAATGAGGGTTCTCTTATTGTCCATGCATATTACACATCAGTGGCTCATTAGCTGGAATGAGCAGGGAGGATTCTCCCCCGTGATTCAACGGCTTCTTTAATTTCCCATGTGGTCAGTCGTCATCTCTGAAGCCACACACACACACTTCCCCCACTTTTTTTTTTACTAGCGGTTCACTTCACTTCCTGACACATCCACACGAACATCCTATCACCAACACTGTTTCTCTCTTACAATCACTCACTTCCACTCTTGTCTCACTATCTCTCTCCTTTTCTCTTGCCCTTTCACTCTCTCTTCAAGAACATGCGCCCACCACCCACGCTCAGTGCCTCGGTACACACACACACACACACACACACACACACACACTCCCTTATCACATCTCCTCACAGATCCACACTCTGAGGCACAGCTCATAATTGGCTTGGCAGCTCTGTTGTGTTGGGGAGGGTAAGGTTGCAGGTTCAAATCCCAAGCGGAGCTCTTCTATATACCATTCGCTCTCCTGCCAATCTCAAAGGCCCCGAGTCTCAATATACAGCCAGCTGTGCAAATAATCCGCAAAGCTGTTAGCAATTATACTTACCCCGAATAAGGGCCTGTGATGGACATCTTAATAATGATTTACCCACTGGAAAAGGGCAAGCTTTTGGAGCATTCCAGACTTATAAATAAGCCTTTCGTATTGATATTTACTTATGGCATGGCATTAATGACCTGCTGATAATTCTGAAAGGTTGTACCACCGTGATCGCCATACATAGCCAATAACATCTACCCTTTCCACGTCAAGCGGAGGGAAAAAAAAAAACTTTTCAAAGAATGACCGTAAATGGTCATTGATTGACTGGTGAGGTCTGTAAAAAGTTGGGCGGTACGTGCTCTAACAGCCATTTGAATAATTCATTCTTCCTGTGGATGCTAATAAATTGTAGAGGCTGTATTTTTGTTGTTGTTTTTTCTTCACTGGTGGCTCTGCTAAGTATTATTTAACCTTGCTTTAAACTGCTCGCTTCCCAAGCTGAGTGGTTTTTAACTCTCATCAGTTTCCTCCAAGCTTTTCAAATATTGATGGAGGTATTGGAGGCTTGAACGTGTGCCAGAACAGGACCCCTCGCTCTTGGCCGCAGCCACTCGACACAAACGCGCACACACACACACAAAAGCCGAGCCCAGCTGCTGTTGGAGTGGTGTTTAAAGTTTGGTTTTCTCGAGTGACTCATACTTTGTGTAATAACCAGACCCAAATGTGAGGGGAGTAAATATAGCCGGCCAACGTTTTGATGGGGCTAAGGAGCAGGTGGTGTTAAGCCAATGAGCTGACAGCAATCCAACGCCTGCTGTCTTTAAACTGTATCTTAAATAGGGCTTGACGACTCTCTTTTGGGGAGTGTGTGGCTGCGAGTGTTTTATTATTTAATGAGTGAATTTGCATGCTTTTTGGAATGAGATTTCACACCGTTCATTGTGGTTAAGCTAGGAGAACCTGATACTTAGACTGACTAAATGTTCTGTAATATTTTGGATCGCATTTTCAGGTTTAGATCCAATCAACATAAAGGCAGGGTTATTTGACTAGCAAGCATGTGAGGATGTAAATATTCCAGGGCCCCCTCCTGTGCTTCTGAGTTGGTCTCCCAGAAGCTGTGTGCATAGTTTGTGGCATGGATTTCTCTGCTCTTTTCCCTCTGGCCCACTCGTTGTCTGTCTCTCAACAGCAGCAGCAGCTCCAAGCCCAGCACCTCTCTCACGCTGCCCACGGCCCCGTGGCTTTACCTCCCCACCCTTCTGGCCTTCAGCCACCAGGAATCCCTCCGGTCACCGGCTCTGGCTCAGGCCTGCTGGCTCTAGGGGCCCTGGGAAGTCAGCCACACTTGCCGGTGAAGGATGAAAAAAACCACCATGACCTGGAGCACCGAGGTAAGGGGCAGACACACACACACTGCTCTCATTTAAAGCCAAGAGAGTGGAACATTAGTCGCTCAGCCATACAGACCTGTGTGAATCAAAAGCTTGTTTCAAAACACCCCCTTTCTCCCCACCGCTCTGTTCATTATTATTACAGCTCTTATAGGCTGCTGACATTATTGACCTTCTTAGGTCTGCTATATAGGACTATGCTGTTTTCATGGCTTGCCATTTAAGGATGTTTTCAGAGAAGAACTGAGATTCTATGAAGTAAGGATGTCCCGATCAGGTTTTTTTGCCTAGCGTCATTTGATTTTGATCAAATTGAAGCCAATCCGATACTTCTATAATACATAAAAAAAAGAATAAAGATTGAAAAAAATTGATCCAGGATTTTCCTTATTTTTAAATTAATTCACCTTATTTTAACAGTCAACATCTCTGTTAACAAACAGAGAACTTCTGTGAGGTAGCTTAAACAATCAAGTAATGAATAACATCAATTCCACACTTTTCGACTTTAGTGCAACAGTAAATAGAAAACAAAATCTAATATAAAAACAAATAGCACCTCAAATTAAAATACACGGCAGGCAATTCCAAGTTTACATATATCACAGTTGGCTATGGCAATGTTGTCATCATCAACTTTATAATACCTCCAGACCGCAGACATACTTGCTCTTTAAGCTTTAAGCTGCTTCCTTGTTGTAATTTGCCGGCATTTAACATAACTATAGATGCGTTAAAATATAATGAGTATATATATATATATATATATATATATATATATATATATATATATATATATATATATAAATATATATTCGAGTCCTGATCGGGAGGTAATGTCAGATTTTGATTGAGTGTAAATCCCCGTGATCAGGCCCAATTTCCAATCACATGATTGGATTTGGACATCCCAAGTATAAAGCAATTAATTGTACATGTGACAGTGTGGCTTTAAAGGTTTGGCAAGGTTAATAAAGGACAGATGCAAATAGTTTGTTGCTAGTGTTGTGTACATAGGGCATATTCTGCCTACTGATGAAATTATCGTTTAACGCAGATTGTCTGTCAGTCAGGGTAACTGACTTTTGTTTATCTCTGTTTTGTCTTGCCGTTCTGCCTGTCTTTCAACGCCAACCGGGGTCTGCTGACTACAGAGAGCACGGTGAGTATCAGATTTCCAGTTGCCTCAGTTGTCCTTTTTCTCTTCCACTTAATAGCTCTGTTCTCAAACCTAGTGTGCTGCCTACATTGACATCAAATCTGCATGGGAAATTTGACACTCATTTGATTTTGGTAGATTTTGTATGTTGCAAACACTGGTTAAAATAATCTGTATGTTATTCAGCTTTTTTCTGTACATTTTTGTAAAAAAAGTGATAAATTCCTAATTTTGTCTAGCAGTTTGGTTTACATTGTTGGTTTAACAGCCTTCTTGGCAGGAGCGCACCTTAAATGATACCTTAATGTTGCCTTGGTAAGCGCCTCGCTAGGTTTTGAAACGGAGCAAATATGTCTTAGTTTTACAGGGTGAAAAGCACCTCTTGGCCCATTTCATGCCTACGAAAATTTCCATTAATGTAAATGTCAAGTAAGATCCTTCATCCTGAAGCACACGCAATTCGTGCACAAAATGGTAATCTGCGTTCATTAAAATGACTAATAGAGAAACAAGCTTTTTATGAAATAAGCACTCGCATCTCTCCGCAGATGGGAAATGACTCGTATTACAGCGCACAGATTAGCGCGGCTCTATAATTTCATCACAATTAAAGACGACGTCGACTCCCTCCCTCCCTCCTTTGTGGGATTTATTTTATGCCTCTCCCCTCCACTATCTCCACTTGTTTACCGCCCCTCTCCGCTCTCTTTCGCTAGCACGATAAATATGTATGAGCACAGTCGCGGGAATTGTTTTCCTCCCTCTCATCTCTGTGCCCTTGTAAAAGGCATTTATTCGACGGGGCTTAAATCTCTCTGATGGCTGATTGTGGCCGTGAGATTGGGTTTCTGCTGGCCCGGCAAGCCCTGAATGGGTGCAGTCATGTCTGAAGGAAGGGGAGCTCCTCTGGCGGTTAGCAGTCCAGGCGCTGTTGTGTGTTCACTGCTGCTGTTGTCTAAGGTCATCTGATAGCACGCTGGTGACTCTCCTTAATGAGTCACGCTAAGCATCTCTTTAGAAGGTCAGACATCATGCAAAGAGAGCAAGAGAGACATAGACTATTGGGCATTCGGCCCAGTCTGCTACTTCATCATTTCAGTTTAGTTTCCTTTTATGCTCCCAGTGATCTGGCTGCATTTTCCCCTTGTGAATCTTGTTGCCTCGCACTGAGCGAAGGCTCTTGGGACGGGATGAGTAAAGCTTCAGGAGCAGGATTGTTTTGAGAACGCGCCCAGAGAACCCTCCATGTCTTGTTGCATATGGAGAACGACTGCTAAATTCTTTGACTCCACAAAATATCGTCATTGTGAGTGTGGACTGTTGCCACATAGTCACCCACCATTTCCTGAGTATGCAAGTCGCTTTTTCCATTTGTCCGCCCTGTTGCCTGTCGGGACCACAGACCCACAGCGTGTTGAGGGAATGGCTCTGGGAGATTTCCAAATAGGAATCAATGGCTATTACATGCTCTCACACACACACACAACCCAAGTCGGACTTCGAGATAATGGGCCATTGTTCGACACTAACATGCTGCTCATGTCTTCCTGAAACAGTTTGTTGTCTCTTTTAGAAGATGGAGGGAGTGAGGTGGGTGAAAGAAGGGAAGGGAAGGGTGATGGGGCAGTGAAAACAAGCCCCTCTTTGCTCTGGTTAACTGTGTCTACTCTGTAGTTCAGCCAGCACATTTTTCTGTGTTTAGTCTACTGTGGGTTGTTAGATACGGCTTGGCGAGTCTCTCTGTATTATGTTAGGACTGTTTTGGGGTTTTGAGTCGGATAGCTGGAATGGATAAATCGCCTTTGGCTTTTTAAGTGTGCGGTTTTGGAGTGATAAGAGCTATTCTGTCCTCTTTTTTTCCCCTCCTCGCTCTTGATTTCCCAGCCTGGATCTCCTTCCGATCCGACAACTGTGAAGTACCTGTCATTTTAATGCTAATTGTTTTTGACTCTGAACCCAAATTTATTTGTCACTACCTCAAACCAGAAATACCCTGGAACCGTGTTCGGATATTAATATCTTGTGCTGAAAGAGGTTGATGGGGTCTATGGGGTATTTTAAAAGCAATTTGTTTTTTTTTTTGTGGAACCAAACAAATTGAAAACCACCCAAAGATCTAAATCTACAAATGAATGAGTTGTGTTAAAGTAGTCTGATGGCACATATTTATACTTCTCCTCTTTCTCTCTTTCAGAACAACTCCATCTCTCCATCAGACAGCCTGCGCACAACCAGTGAGAAGCACCGTGGCTCCTCCGATTACAGCTTAGACTCCAAAAAACGCAAAGTGGAGGACAAGGACAGCATGAGTCGATATGTGAGTGATGTTAACTTACATTAAAGATTTTGTAGCAAAATGCTCTGAATGCTAACTAGCTGACTTTCCATGTTTTCAGGACAGTGATGGAGACAAAAGTGATGATTTGGTGGTTGATGTTTCCAATGAGGTGAGAATAATCACGTTTGGACTGATGATGTTGAATCCATGAAATGTGTCGTCATTCTTTATTTATGTAGACTTCGATGTTTATCTTGATGTATTTTATTTTCTAGGACCCTGCCACGCCCAGAGGCAGCCCCGCCCACTCGCCGCCAGAGAATGGTATAGATAAGCCCCGGCCAGCAAAAAAGGACACACCCAACAGTCCCGCCTCTGTGGCCTCGTCTGGCAGTACCCCTTCCTCTAAAAACAAGGAGCACGGCCATGTACGGAACACTTTTTCATACACAAGCTGGTTCCATTTAATTCCGCATGCTACATTTACGTGTATCAGCTCTATTTATCCGGATTTCACTACTGTAATAATCGACGGCGCTGCATATAAGATTTGATGGAATGTGGGTCTGTGCCATTGAAGCAGAATTATAGGATATGTTTGAGGAAAAGCGTTAGGTGGGAGGGGGCAGCTAGGGAAGCCTGAACGCCCTGTGATCTTCCACTTTCTCTAATAGCTCAGAAGTGAATGTCTGTTTCCCAGCCTCGGCTTTAAATACATCTGTAAATGTCAGGGATAATGCATTCCCATAGCTGGATCAGTCGTGTCTTCCCTGCTAATAACTCAATGCGTTTAACCATTCTGGGCCTCTGCATCAAAAAAAAAGATTAGAGGGAGAAGCGAGGGAAGGATAAAACGAGCCTCATCTCCATTGTAGCAGTAATGGGTTTGGGGATAAATAGCAGGGTTTATAGTTTCGTAGGAGTAGTGAGTTTGTCAGAATTGGATTGGATTAGGTTCTGGCGGCACTTAAATCTTCTGCCTGGATGCTGCCTCGTTTGGGGGGATTTTAACTCTGTTTTCTCTATCTCTCTTTCTCTCTCTATTCTCTCGTATCTGCAGAATGACAAATCTTCCACGCCTGGTCTCAAGTCTAACACCCCCACACCTCGTAACGATGCCCCCACACCAGGTACCAGCACCACCCCTGGGCTGCGGCCCATCCTGGGCAAGCCTCCGATGGAAGCTCTTGGTGAGTTTGTAATTAACGTCCACAGAGATGTTGTTTGGCTATCACTTCCTGCAAGTGTGCAACACGAACACAGCCAATACTGTAACCAAAAGAGACTTCTTTACATATGGTAATAATCCAAAGCTTCAGCAAATTTTTTAAGGCTTGCCTTTTTAACAGAGCTTAAAGTAGCTTTCATAAAACTGGTCTTTGAAGCAGCTCAGTGTAGGCAGGTCTTTGATTGAGATTTATCTCCCTGCTCCCGAGTTCAGCTCCTTTTGCCTGTGGTTGACTGATGCTGATTTATGATTGGCTGTGTGTCTATGTGTCTGCAGCCGCCCCTGCTCTGCGCACCCCTCTCACTTACCCAACTCCCTTCGCCATGATGAGCCACCATGAGATGAATGGTTCTCTGACCAACCCTGGAGTCTATGCTGGCCTTCACATCTCTCCTCAGATGAGCGCGGCTGCTGCTGCTGCCTACGGGCGCTCGCCCATGGTGAGTAATTGTGCGTTTGTGTTAAATAAGCACATTAGTGGAAGAGCTGCTGTTAAAACATTATTTACTTGCATATCTTGAACTTGGACCTTTCTGAAAACATTAAAAACTGAAACTATAATATTTTTGTTCTCGTGCACATCCACACAAAACAACTATTTGATATTATGTGGAAATACTCTTCTGAAATCTAAAATTTTATGTATCTGCTTATTCTGTTTGATTGCAGAACAGATACGTATACTTTTTTTTTTCGGAATTAGGCCAGGGGGGTACCTTATCTTAAAGATTTGTGCCAGAAAATTGAGATGTATTAAGGATTATTTTGGAATCAGATTGTAACTCTGAAACAAAATCGAATCAAATCCTGTGGTGCCTAAAGATTTCTACTCTCTACTCCAAAGTAGGCCTCACCTTACCTTTCTCTCCCAATTTCTTCCTCTCATTTCTTTTTATTTTCTTGCTCGATTTCAATCTTACTCTCTCACCCAAAGCCCCCAACCTGAAAGTGGAGGGAGAGCGTGAGGTGATGTAGTGTGTGTGACTGGGTGTGAAATGAGCGTTACATTGACTGGGCTCTCAGGCTACCTGACTGCCTGCCGTCTGATTGCTTCATCCTTTCGGTTAAATGAAGGAGCAAGTCACGAATCATTCCTCTTCGGTTGCATGTTAGTTTTCACAGTATACATTGATCTAGTCAAGTTAAAGGAATAGTTTACACTACAAATCTCTAACTAGTCATTATTTAGCGTTGTTTATACTTGCATTGTTCCGAACCTACAAATGTCCAAGAGAAATTTGGAAGTATTGTCATTCAAGTAAAAAAAAAGCATAATTATTAAAATAAATACATACTCACTGGCCACTTTATCAGGTACACCTGTCCACCTGCTCATTAACGCAAATTTCTACTCAGCCAATCACATGGGTCCATCCTGCTTTGTATCAACGATTCAGTCTGGTGGTGATGGTGTAATGGTGTGGGGGATGTTTTCTTGGCACACTTTGGGCCCAGTAATACCAATTTAGCATCTTGTCAACACCAAAGCCTACCCCAGTATTGCTGCCGACCATGTCCATCCCTTCATGATCACAGTGTACCCATTTTCTGATAACTACTTCCATCAGGATAGCACGTCATATCATAAAGCACAAATCCTCTCAGACTGGTTTCTTGAACATGACATTGAGTGTACTGTACTCAAATGGCCTCCACAGCCCACAAATCTCAATCCAATAGAGCAAATTTGGGATGTGGTGGAACAGAAGATTTGCATCATGGATTTGCAGCCGACAAATCTGCAGCAACTCTGTGATGCTATCATGTAAAATAAACCAGAATCTCTGAGGAATATTTTCAGTACCTTGTTGAATCTGTGCCACAAAGGATTAAGGCAGTTCTGACGGCAAAAAGAGGTCCAATCTGGTACCAGGTGTACCTAATAAAGTGTCCAATAACTGGATATAAACAAAATGGTGTATACAGTTTCTGATGCTTGATGTAATGCTTTGAGGAAAATCAGTTAAAGCATATCATTCAGACCAGTTATTTTTTATTATATATATACGCCTAATTAATGGCACATTAGTATCACTATAAAATGAACACAGATCTTACTTATTTGTATGACGTGCAAGTAATGTTTGCACAATTTTTTTGTCTTTTTTATTTTTTTAATCGCTATACTAATCCAGCTTGTTTTTATTTTGCTTCTGTAGGCGGGTTTCGAGCACCCTCATATGAGAGCTCCTGGCCTCCCTGCCAGCCTCACCTCGATCTCTGGAGGAAAACCGTAAGTGTCCGTCAAAGATTAAATGATCATGACTAACTCATAGCCGCACTAGACTGCTCTCTATCCCAGCACTATTTATGTAACAGTTCCACGAGAGCGCTTAAGAGTACAACCTTTTCCACCTCTTAATACCTCATTTCAGACTACTTACTCATATTGCCGTAATTGATTTAATTAACCCACTTCAATCAGCGCGCTGTTGACTACTAGATTACTAAAGAGGTCTGTCTCTCTCCCTGTCTGTCTGTCTGTCTGTTTCTCTCTCACAGAGCCTACTCTTTCCACGTCAGCGCCGATGGACAAATGCAACCTGTTCCCTTCCCTCCAGATGCTCTCATTGGTCCAGGGATCCCTCGCCATGCCCGGCAAATCAACACACTCAGTCATGGTGAGGTTGTTTGTGCCGTGACTATCAGCAACCCCACGCGCCACGTCTACACTGGTGGCAAGGGCTGTGTGAAGATCTGGGACATCAGTCAGCCTGGAAGCAAGAGTCCGGTTTCTCAACTTGACTGCCTGGTAAGGGTGGAACCATACTTGCTAGTATTATTGCTCATATTTATTTTGAATTAATAGTACTGTAAAGGGCTGTGCAATATGATGATCTCTATTGTGTGGTTGAAATAAAAAGTCTGTCGTTTCATATTAGGTTCTATCGTTTATTTTGTGATGTCAGGAAACACATTGTTTATGGTAACACTTTTTCATAATTTGGATGATGTAATCCTAGCATCATGGTGATGCAGACAGAAACATTTATAACGGATTGATGAGAAAGTTGCTTGAAGTAGTTTACATTTTGTCATTTATTTAGCAATATTTTTTTTCTTGGGCCTGTTATCATTTGTCATCTTTAGATTCTTAACCACACATTTTTGCTTGAAGTTTTGAATAAAGTGAGAAGAATAATCAAATGATTTGGCTAAAATGAGAATTACAATTTTTTTGCTTAAGATCAAGATCACGATTTTCTCATGATTCTGTAGATGTAAAATAAAGGTTAATATGAGTAGGCTAATATTATTGTTATTTCTCAAACAATTAGTTAAACAACAATAATTATATTAGGCCTATGTGTATGTCTACTGTTGGGTAAAATGCTAAATTTTGTATACACTTTGAATAGTGGACTTGAATGGACTTTAAATTTGTCCTGGTCATTAATGCACAGTAAAATGTAATCAGAATATCAGAACTATTTACCATTCTGAAGTTGAATTATTATGTACATATACTTGCAATCTGTCATTGACAATATTAGCTAATTTTTTTCGCTCATGAAATGAGACATTTGTCATTATCCTATATAACTTTGAATACAATGCAGAAGGGAATCTGATACAGTAGTTTTACTGACAGTGTTACACGTTTATTCTCATGCGCAACACTCGGTTTGCTATAAAAGAAAAAAACATATCGTAATCATAATTCTAAAATGACTGCTGTGACTTGGAAAAAACACACACATACAAATCATACTTTTAACGCGGCTCCTAAATGATCATGGTACAATAAACTGAACGTTATTTTAGAACTTTATTACCTGTTATTCACAGCCTATGAAGGTTCTGTACACTAAAGTAGACATGGGTGTGCGTCCTCTCTGGTAAACGCACAGCCCATGTGTAAATTTGCAGCCTGGAAAACATCACTACATGAAGAAAGAAATTATATTTTGGTTGAATTATACCTTATACCTTATAAATACAGTACAGACACCATTTGGAGGTGTCCATGCTGAGCAACGTATGTAAAAAAAACATAAAGACTTATGCGACCACTTTTATGCTTCTGTCCTGACCTTGAAAAGGTAATTGGCAGAATCGTAAATACGCTGGATTAAGAATGTGTGGGGGCTCGAATCGAGATCTTTTTTTTTCTCGATTAATCATGCAGCACTCATGAATGTGTATTTTTTTTTATTGTTAAAAAAAAAAAAAATTGTACTTTCCATGTGGTCAGTATGTAAATGAGATTTCTTTCATCTTGACATGAGATATTGATATGATTATATGTTATATTGTCCAGCCCTTTTCCAGTGCTGTACATGCATACTTATTTTAATTCTTAAATGTAACAATTTGCTAAACCGTTTTTTTGCCCTTTACAGAATAGAGACAACTACATTCGATCCTGTAAGCTGTTGCCTGATGGTCGCACACTCATTGTTGGAGGAGAGGCCAGCACTCTGACCATTTGGGATCTTGCCTCCCAGACACCCCGAATCAAAGCCGAGTTGACCTCCTCTGCACCAGCCTGCTACGCGCTGGCCATCAGCCCAGATGCCAAGGTGTGCTTCTCCTGCTGTAGTGATGGAAACATCGCTGTCTGGGACCTTCACAACCAGACCCTTGTCAGGTGGGATTATTTCAGAGGTTTTGCATTTCATTATACATCTTTGAGGCCATTCTCTAAACCACTTTTTGGGTGAATTTTCAGGCAATTCCAAGGCCACACAGATGGTGCCAGCTGCATTGACATCTCTCATGATGGCACCAAGCTCTGGACAGGTGGTCTTGATAACACAGTCCGCTCCTGGGACCTCAGGGAGGGAAGGCAACTCCAACAGCACGACTTCACATCTCAGGTTAGAAGTTAGAGCATGGATTTTTAAAATTTATGTTCCACCTTATTATTTTTTGGTTGTTATTGGGGTTTTGGTTGTGCACAATGTGAGCTTTGAAATGCAAGTCCCAAACCATGCAAGCCAGTGATGGAGTCATATAAAGTTTAATTTAGAGGGACCTTTGATGGCCATTAGGACTTTGGAGATGCCACTGTGCAAGTGATATCGTACACGGAGTCTGTCTTTCTGTACTCCCTTGTGAAGTTCAAAGTGGTAGTCTGAAACCTGAAAATACTAATCAAATATCACCCCAATTATTATATGTTAAGCCTTTATGCATGATTCTTTAGTTATTTGTTTTAAAAATAAGAATTAGACGTATGTTTTTCATGCATTAAGAAAATCAAGTTGGTTCATGCCAGCTTTTTTGCAAAGGCACTATGTTCAGCTTGTCTGCGTTTTCCCCTGTGCAGATCTTCTCTCTGGGCTACTGTCCAACGGGCGAGTGGCTGGCTGTTGGTATGGAAAGCAGCAACGTTGAGGTGCTCCACCACACCAAGCCTGACAAGTACCAGCTGCACCTTCACGAGAGCTGCGTTCTCTCTCTCAAGTTTGCATACTGTGGTAAGTGACCGATTCATGCTTCCCAGATTGAGGGCAGGCCCTCTATACATATCTCCTCTAGAGCTTCTGCGCTCTCTTGAAGTTTTACGGAGTCACTTCTATATAACTGAACCTTGACTGTCCTTTTCTGCTAGGCTGTCTTTTATTGGGCTTTCTGTGCATGTCTCCATTTTGCTTGTACTCTGAACAGAGGTCTAATTACGTTTGATTTCCCTTGACAAGGTAAATGGTTCGTGAGCACTGGGAAGGACAATCTGTTGAATGCATGGAGGACTCCCTATGGCGCCAGCATATTCCAGGTACAGAGATCAATACAGACTGTCTGCAGGAAATGTGTGGGTTGCCTGAATCAGTAGAAAGGGCACAGTGACCGCTGGCTGACAGGCCGGGCCTCGATCAGCGGAAATGGGCTGGAGTATATCATTAACGCTGGGTCCTGACCACTTAGTGCGGATGTGGGTTCGTGCGTGCAGCTCGCATCTACCAGCTTAAGAGTAAATAATGATAACCCTTCAAGTGTTTATGACTGAAGGGGCTCGGCACGGACGCTAATGCATCGTTGGTGGGGGAGTGAAGTGCTTATGTATACAGCTGTCAGCATTTTCTTTGAGTAATAGAGGATGTCTGAAGAGTTTTATGCAGGGGCTTTTGTGTCACATGTGAAGTTAAAATTCAGAGGATGTTTTTTAATGTGGATCTTTTTGTTTCTTGCAGTCAAAGGAATCATCCTCGGTCCTGAGCTGTGACATATCAGCTGATGACAAGTACATTGTTACGGGCTCTGGAGACAAGAAGGCCACGGTGTATGAAGTGATCTACTAGACTGAGAGGTAACAGACTGGAGCAGCTCAGGCCTCTGGAGGAGGACGGGGGGACACATAACTTCTCACTCCAGTGACTCTCCTAGTCAAACAGACAGGAACAGCCCTTGTCTGTCTGACTGTCTGTCTCACTCACTGACTTTTTTACTGACTGACCGCAGACGTGGACGAGTGGACACTGGGGGGGATTGAGCTGCTGGGACTGGGACACAAATGTGCAACCCTAAAGACCCCACACACTCGGCTCGGTTCATATGGCACTAGGGAACACTCGTTCTTTTCTTCCTTGCTGTTTTTTTTTTGTGTCAAATTTTTCTTTGGACTTTGTTTCCCTTTTTTTTTCTCACTACGCAGTGAGAATGTTCCATAATGCTTCGTGAAACAGCGCTTCGTTCTGAAACTTCATCTGTGTGGAGGTTATGTGAAAAGTGTACATAATGGAGTATTAAAATGCCTTTTATAGATTTATATTTTGGTGTCCTGTTACACTTGTGATGGTTCTCTTTCTCTCTCCCTCTCTCTCATTCTCTCCTTGATGCTTCGTTTCCCCTTCGAGGTTTGGAAATTAGATTAAGACTTTTTTTTTTTTTTTTCTGAGGATATTCTATTCCGTTTTTTTCTCCCCCTTTGAGAAGTTCATTTTCCAAGCTGACCTTTAATGGAAATCTAATTTACTTTTTTCCCTCCCTCCTGAAAAACAATTTTGAGCTAAATCGCATTACAGAGGCGTTTTTGTAAAATGTCCTGTGGATTTTTTTTTTGAGTGGCTTAAACCCCATGCAAGGCACCTGAGACTGCAGTCGAGGCTCTCAGGGGGAAGGGCAGTTCAGTTTTCGGTTTCCCTTCCTGCGAGAACAGAGACCCAGCCTTGTACAAGCTAAGAGTTCCTCATGGGGGCACATGGACCTGGATTTGATTTACGAATTAGCAGAGGACTCCTCGCAAACCTGTGACTTCATTGTGCTGTTGTATGACCAGGACACGACATCTTGTCTTGCAGTGGAAGACTTGGATTAATTGGTGTTTTCCCCTCCTCCTTCCTGAGTCCCAAGTGACATACACTGTGTTTCGTGTGCATAGTGTTCCATATACAGGAAGCACAGAGTAAAACGTCTGTCGATAAGCCAAACGGACTGTAACGCTCACAGACATCTACTTACTGTCCAGCTTGATTAGAGCATCACACTGTTAGTAACTCCTCTTCAAATCAAATACAGAGAAAAGAGCTGCAAGGAATGGACACGTCTCAAAACACACACCAAAGTATGTAGCAAACTGTGTTGTCACTGAAGATATGTACAGTTGTTGATAATTCAATAAACTGTTTTTGTAAAAAAACTGAAATATTTAGCACTGTCTCCGTGTTGTGAACTAGTCTCTCACGTTGGTCTGCTCGGTGGGCATTGTAATGGTGCATCAATGGAGAGCTGAACTTCAAGGCTCTTGAGGAGAAGCATGACGCAAACCCTGCTTTTCGGCCTCTCTGAATGTTCTGGTGGTAGTGAAGCACTCTTATTAGGCGGTCAGCTGAGATGAATGCCCTCTCCAGCCCTTATTTTCTGTCTGTTCCTTTGTATAGCGAGGGGCTCTCTTTGAGAACTCCATCCCCTCGCCTCTTTAGTGATGTTTTTGTAAGACTATAAAAGCAGAGACGGATGGTTTTGGCTCTGAAATGCTCTCTCTCCCTGTGCTTTCCTCTTCTCTTCTCTCTCCATAATGCCCCCCACATAGACACAAGTGTGCATTTCCTATATAGCAACCCCTGTGCTCTTCTGGAACTTTCTTCCTCTCAATCAAGAGGTTGAGGGGCCGTGCAGGGATGAAAGCTTTTGCTCCCTCTGAGAGTGCCTGACACTGGACGAGTGGATGGGCTGTCAGTCGTTTCCGTCCCTTTTCATGTTTTCAACAGATCTGCTGGAGATACGGACAGCTTTTCATTTACATCTTGTGTTTCTTATTGACAATAAAATCAGGTAAGCCTTCAGAGATCTGTGATCTTGGTTTCAAGAGAGGCTTGATCTTTGCAGGAGCTGCTTTCATCTGATTGGTGCACGGGAAAGAACATCCGTTTTCATTATTTCTGCACTCAGGCTCAAGAGTGTGTAGGTGTGTTTCAGAAATTCAAAATGTAATAATTGATTAAGGATTACTTTAGTGTGTATACCGTTTGTTAATTGTAGATAAATTGTGCTGCAATTGAAATAATTTAAATATATATATTTTTTACTCATTTCATGTTAGGTATTTTATTTGTATATAATTTATTTTGATATTTAATATATTTTATGTAGTTAATAGGATTTTGCAGTGAATTCAAATTGAGAAGTACAACATTTGAAGCATATTGCAGTGGTCGCAAGACACTAGCTACGTTTCCATACACCTTTTTTTATGTGCATTTTGGATATGCGCATAAAAAATCTTTTGATGGAAACGCCAAGATGCACATAAAATATATAAAATGTATGCGCGTAACTGAGTAGGATAAACTTTTTATTTCATAAGAAAAGATGCTCATAAACTACGATGGAAACACTTACCAAACAAATTCCAGTATGCGCATTAAAAAAGTCATGTGATTTTGTTCTTACGAGATCATGTAATGATGTTGATGTTGATGATGGTGTGTGAATGGGCAAACTAGCAGGCTGAGCACATTGTAAAGCATCTGAAATGTGGTTTTGGTCATTCTAAAACGCATTTGCCGTTTCACTAGTGGTGTTATTATATTATTAATTACCTCCAAAACTGTCTTAGAGCGTCTGTGCACTGCGTCTCACGCGGCACCACCGGTTCATTGCCTGTCGGCATTTTTTTTCTAAGGCGCAAGTAATTTATTAAATTTAAAGAAAAAGCTTCTACCACAGCAAATTCCAACTTTACTGTTGATATTTGGCGCCAGATAATCAGAAAGTGATGATTTTGTTCTCTTTAACTTGTTGGATGGAAACGGTGCTTGATTTGCACATCTTTTATGCAATATTCCAATTTTGTGCATAAAGTTAATTTGCATTTTTGGATGGAAAGCAGCTAATGAAGGGGGGTCGCTTAGTGATTTCCAAAAAATGTCATATGTTATTACATGTCTAATTACATATATGTTATTAGAATTTCCATATTTTATTTATAACCTACAGAAGTTTTTAACTTGTATAATATTTAATAGTTACATAAAAAAAAAAAACAACATGCAAATAAAAAGACATCAGTCTTTCATTTTTTTTTTCCATTGGATTGCAACCCCTGGGGTTATTATGCTAGATTAACTTCACAGCAATAGTGTTAGTTGCAGCAGATTGATTTTACGGCACATTGTTAAACTTTGACACCTTATGGCATACATTAAAAATAAAGCCCACGACTAAACATGGAAGATGATCTTCAAGTGGCGGTCTCCAAAATTATACCGAAAAAAGTCTTAAGCTGCAAACATTGTGCCCACCATTCTCATTAAGTGAGGTTTATATTAAATTAAATGAATACTGATTATGAAAATGATACGGTTGTTAGACTGTTGCACTTTTTTGTGTCTTGTATGTTTAACAGAGGCCAGCTAGTGAAGTGCTGTGCAGGTAAACCTCATTTCTCTGAACCTGAAAAGGTGCTGTAGCGACATACGCTATATAGGCCATGGTCTTTAGCCTCTTTGTTAGAGAAACCATCTCCCATGCAGAGAGTCGCTGGTTTGATTCCATGTCAGAACGGGTTGGGTAGTGTTGGACCGGCGGGGTTTACAATGGTGCCGTGACCCGGATGGGAGTAAGGTTTAGGGGGGTGAGTGTTATAGAGGCCAGCTAGTAAAGTGCTATGCAGATAAACCTCATTTCCCTGAACCCGAAAAGGTGCTCTAGTGACAGCGCTATAGGCCATTATCTTTAGTCATCTTGTTAGAGCATCCGACCCCCATGCCGAGAGTCGCTGGTTCGATCCCAGCTTGGAACGGGTTGTGTGGTGTAGGACCGGCGTGGGTTACATTTGCTCGTGTTCATATAGTTCCTATTGGTGTGTGCACCATTGTATGCTTATAACCAATGTTTGTATGTTTATAACCACCTCTAAACACTGGAGTTGTTATTTTGGGGGTCGTGGGCTGAAAAGTTCGGGCACTCCTGGAATATTGTAGTTTTGCTATAAAGTTATTAGCATTTAAAAAAAAAAAAAACTTTGAGTACTTTCTGTACATAAGGAAACCCCAAATGTTTTACCTACGTATTCTGTATATGTAGTTGACTTGTGAGGTTGCATTCTAGTTAGGGTGCTGCCTGAGTGATCAGTGATGCTCCTTACTGTGTTTTCACTTTCTAATTGACAAACTTGTTTTAATATGAATCACATCTTAATCATAGAATGAAGTAGACTTACTTCTTGGGTAACATCATTGCCCATTCCTTTCGGGATTGTCCATGTTGTGGATGTCCAGCCTTTGCTTCTCATGTCACGCTTCTGAGCCAACAGTTTCAGCTTTCATGGATGTGGATCAGCAGCAATGCTCTCCTGCTGGCATGAACTTACCTTCTCTTGTAGCCAGTGGAGATGGATGATGTTTCGACTGGCAAGGTCTTGGCACAGGGCTGGAAGGCTGTAATAATGGCCTAATCACCTGAGCATTGCCAGGCTTTGGCTTTATCTGGCGTGGATGCGAAAGCCCCCTCGGTGCTGTGTGATTACAGCGTTTGATCTGGGTAATAATGTCTTTACTATGGCCCTGTCTGAGCCCCGCGGGCACTGCTCTGCACTAATCCACACAGTGCATTCTAGTGGAATCGCGTTACACAAAGACCACCAGAGTTCTGCAGAGGAGTGGGGAAACGAGTGGGGGGGTTGGACTGTGGTTGCCATGGAGACAGATCCCTTTTCTCTGCTTTCAGTCTCCCTCCTTTCCTCTCCCCTCTGCCACCTTCTTGCTCTTTCCCCCCCTCTATATCCCTCTTCTCTCTGGCTTTCTCTCTCTCCCGGGACAGATAAGCATGAGGACAGGTTTCTGTGTTTACTCGACACAGTAGGGCCCTCCAATCCCCGAGCAGGGCTGACCCTGATAACACTGCCTGTTACAGCAGCAAACCACTGACAGTTGATAAGCCGCGGTGCAGGCATCTCCCTTCCCCTTTCTCCCTGCCCGGGATAACCACAGCCACGCACGCTGTGTTCATTTGGATTAGTGTGGATTCAATTGGATTATTCCTCCTGTGTTCAGAATGTTGATGTCCGAAAGCAAGGCACTGTTGCTTTCTCCTTTTTTTTTTTGAGCTAAATGTCAGTCAAGAATCTTCAGTGAAGTTATCGACTGACTTCCTCATCTGCATGTTCATGTGCGCAGCGATAACTCCCAAAAATAGCTTATTGAATTAACTCGTTATCCTACTTTACATGCAAACTTAACTAACAGCCTTCTACCAGGTCAGCGATGCTTTAAGATTAGCTGTAGTTTATCTTGGCTCAAGGGTATTCCTTTAGTTATGTGACATGTGATCTAAAAGGCATAGATATGCATGCAGAATTTAGAAAGACGTGTCATTAGCCAC